GTTAAAGAGGAACTTTACCCATATCTTCAAAATAACAATATAGGCACCTTGAGAAATGTTTAATAATGACAATCTAAACACACATACTTCTAGATAATTGCATGCTTTATATATTTTGCATTTTTTATTTTCTTCCTTTGTCTTCTGACACTGGACATTTTTTTTTTACTAAGGGCAGGTTACTAGATCTCCCTTTGCTTCCAGCAACTTTGTACCATGTGACTAAGACATGTGACCATGAACATCATCTCCGGGCAGGAAAATGTCTTTCCCTAAGATCTTGTGAGATTACAGATGAGATTTCCCAGCAATGGTCTGCTGATGTAACCTTACCAGGATGCAATGCTTGGGTACAACTACATCATTGTGACGATGTGGACTTGGAAATGGACAAAAATAAATTGTAAGTAAAATAAAAATATGTTTGTTTAGCCAATAAATGTAAGATAATTTCATATCCACAGGCACAGCTGTATGCTGATGTGATTTTTAGTAAAATGTGGTAAAGGTCCACTTTAAGGATTAAACTCTTTGCTTTGTTACCCAAAACTTCTCCACCCAAACCAACTCGGTGGAGCACTTGGTAAATATGGCAAATAAAAAATCCACACAAATGCAAAACAAATTAGAAATGTTTTACTGAAAATTGTTATGATTAATATCCACAAATCCCAATTCTCACAGCTACGATGAGACAAATCCAAAATGTGGTGCATTGCAAAAGACTGTCTATGAACAAAATAATGTAGTTAAAGGTCTTAAGAAACCAGTGAGCCGCACAACATTCGCTCTTTATTATACAATCTTGAAACTACTTTCTGTTTAAATTGATGCCAGGATCAGCAGTTTGTACAAGCTGATGCAGCTCTTCAGCATTAATGTTTTATAATAGGGTGCTATTGGCTTTACTGTTACATTTTGCCTGCACTTCCCTTAATACGCTGGCTAGAATGCACTAACTTCACAAATAGTTTAGACTTTACATTGATAAATTCAGGAACAAAAGAAAGATGTTCTCTTCACATAGTGATGAACTGACCCAGATATCTCAGCGTAAGAACGTATTCTGGATAATATCTTGGTCTTCTCATAGATATACTTCTCGCCTTGCAATTGTTCAGAGGTACGCAAAGTAGATATATTTGCTATATTTTGATTTGCGTATATAATTTGTGTCTATCAGAATGAACCTGACCTGTCATGTTTCATGGGGAAATAGAGCTCTCAGGTTGAGTTGCAACAGTGTCGATATTATGTGCTGCCTCTTTCACTTGCAAACAGGTGAATTGCTCCAACTTGAACATGGCTTCCTTTCCCTTATGTTATGGTTTCACCTGCTATTCAGCATCCCTAAACCATTCTGTGATAGACATACTTGTGTACGGACTGCACCTCTTCAATTTGCTTTTTTGGCATCTCCGCTAGTAACCAAAAAAGCAAACTACTAAGCACAAAACACATGCAGACCATTTACGGGTTATTCTTAAAGGTATACCTGCAGTTTGGAGTCGTAATATGCAGTCCATATGTACTTCACAAAAATAGTTTGACCTCCTTGCCGAGTAGCACAGCTGACACGGTAGTGCAGTCTTGTGTATAACATTGGCAGCACATACGAATCAACAGCACTAATATCAAAAGCACAGTCCTGCAGTTTGTTTCTTTAAAATGCAGCAAACACAGCTGAACCACCACATAGGATTAACATACCACCAGCCAGGGCCGTAGATAGTTTTTTTCCCTGGGGGGGGGTTCAGCTTCCTCAAATTATAAGACTTTATCTAGCAGACACACCAAGGTTTGAAAAAAAAGCGACATCCGTGGCCACTTCAGCACCCCCCCCCCACACACACATTATATGGGGCTTCTCGGTCAAGAGTGCGGTGGGACTATTTGCCTGTGACTATTGGCCAGTGGGTCCCCGTGTGCCTTCCACTTTTCTAGGTGAGAGGCTCCTCAGCCTTCCCCTAGCACAGCACTGTCAGTTCTTGCGCCGAGCAGCCATTCAAAATATGCCTCCCAGAGTCGAGTGTCAGCTTGAGGTGGGATGTGATAGGACAATGGCTGCGAGGGAGCTCCATCCATACGTGCATTGCTTACAGCTCCCTCTCATGTCCTGTAGAGGTGGCTGGCCCGGTGTGATGTAACATTCTGGTTCCCGACACCTCTACAGGGTGTGCGAGGGAGCTGTACAAGCAATGCACATATGGATGGAGCTCAGTCACAGCACAGCAGCCCACACTGGATCCCAGGCTGAGGATCCACTCCAGTTCTGATA